AAATAGAATAGAAACTAACTGGAACTCTAGCTTACTAGTACTTCACCAAACCAAATCAATTATTACAGTGGCACCTCAGTACTCATTGTAATTGGTTCCAGGAGTTATGACAAGTACCAAATATGACAACTACCGAATTAGTTTGACTGGGAATTAGTCACAAGGCCATCAATACTGACAAGTTTTAGCTTGTGCTTTAAGTACTAAAAAAATGACAATCACTAGAACAAAATTTTCTCATCAGACTGAATCAAGTACCAAATTCAATAGCTTTCTAAGTAGTCCACTAGCAAGGTATAGCTGTATTATTACATTCCATAGGATGTGAGTATGAAAGTACCTTATCCTAGTACGTAAATATTCAAAAACCTGTAAGAAGTTGTTAAAAGGACACAAGCTAAGTTGAAAAAGTCAATAGGGATAGGCAAGGACTTTCTGAACAGAACCCAATGGCACAATAAAAAATACTGAGAATCAACAAATGGGATCACATAAAATTAAAAGGCTTCTACATAACAAAGGAAACAGCTAACAGAGTGAAGAGACAACTTACAGAATGGGAAAAACATTTTGCCAGCTATTTCAGAGAGAAAAAACACTAAGGATATATAAAGAACTAAAAAAAAAAGACCCCTAATATAAAACACTGAAATTTTTTAAAAAAATGAGTAATTGAAATAATTAGACACTCCTCAGAAGCACAAAATAAATATATGAAAAATGTTCATCATCACTGGCCCTTAGAGAAATGCAAATTAAAACTATATTGAGATACCATCTTACCCCATAGAGAATAGCCATCATCAAAAAATCTAATAACAAGCCAGGTGTGGTGGTCCATGCCTGTAACCCCAGCACTTGGGAGGCTGAGGCAGGAGGATCACTGTGAGTTCGAGACCAGCCTGGGCTACAGAGTAAATTCAGAGCTAGCATGAACTACAAAGGGAGACCCTGCCTCAAAAAAGCAAAAAAAAATTGCCGGAGATATATCTCACTGGTTCCGCCATCTGCCTTGCAAGCACAAAGACCTGAGTTCAATCTCTGGTACCAAAAGAAACAAACACCAATAAACAAATCGACCAACCAAAAAATATAATCTAATAACAAATGCTGGCGACAATGTGGGGAAAAAGGAACTCTATTACACTGTTGGTGAGAACATAAAGTAGTACAATCACTCTGGAAATCAGTGTGGAGACTCCTCAAAAAAGCAAAAATAGAAATTTCCATTTGACCCAGATATCCTCCTCCTAGGTATCTCCCTGAAAGGAGTTAAAATCACATTACATGGATACATCCAAACCAATGATGATAGCAGCATAATTTATAATAGCAAGATCGTGGAAACAGCATGTATGCCATCAACAGATGAAAGGATAAAGAAAAACGTGCATTGCCATTAAAAAATAAACTTGAAGCATTCAAGGATAAATGGATACAACTTAAATATAATGTTAAATGAAGTAACTCAGGCATACAAGCTCAATAGATGGGTATGTGAGAAACCACACACACACACACACACACACACACACACACACACACACACACACACACAAGAGAAATTAAGTAGGAAGCCAGGAATTCAATAGTCCTCCAAATTACATATATTGTGGTTTAAAAAATATTGTAATATATGCTAATTTGTTTCATTTATACTAAAAGTTTATCCTACTTTACTGACAAGAAAATTTGTGTTTTTATCTGTTTGTTTCTTTTTTGGTTTATGTCTTGTACTGAGTAATTTGAAGATAATGGTACACAGCATAAATTTTCTTATTATTTGGTTATGAAAATCTGCTTTTCATAAAATGAAAAAAAATTAAGTGTGATGAGAGATCGGGTATTTACACAGCATTAAAGCATTACCCTACAAAATTCTTACTAATTTGAAGATTTTTATTTTAAAGCCAACTTTATAGTTGAGAGGCCTGGTTGATACCATCTCAACTACATGGTCAAAGACAATATAATCAGTAATGAAAAAAATCAAAATTGTATGCCAACTGATAGGACACAATGAGATAGTATCACTTCTATGATATTCTTGATAATAATGAATAACCTTCATCTAATTATGTGGAAATATTAGACAAACTTTTATGATCTGGATTCATCCTGATTTTTTTTAACTTTTTCTTTTTTTTTTTTTTAGTACTGGGTATCGAACTCAGGACTTTATCCTTACAAGGCAGGCACGGTGCCACTGAGCTAAATCCCCAGCCCTAACTTGTTCTTTTAACCTTTATATCCTCTAAAAATTTAAAGATAGAAAGAACTTTGTTAAATTCAAGTTCAAAAAATTTTACCATGGTACTTAATTTATATGCAATGCACAATAACAGAAACAAGTTTAAAAACACTGGAATTAATTCAGTTTATGGTATATTCTTCAAGACTGCCTACTTTCTTCTACAAGTTATGCTATGGAATTATTTCCCAAAAGGATAAGCTCTGCAGGGAGGTACTGTTCCAGATTATAAGAGCTTTAAGACATAAAATTAATTGAAAGGCATATTCTTTAACCAGATGCTGGTTTGAAAAAAATAGTCACAAAAGAGAAGTATTAGACAACTGGGAAATTTTTAATACGATCTGAATATAGATGCTATTGGAAAAGCTATTACACTTATTTTGATAAGGATTAAGGTGGTAAAGTGCTATGACATCTATAACATACTTTAAAATCATTCTATAAAAATATTTATAATTGCCAGACATTGTAGCTCATGCCTATAATTCCAGCACTCTGGAGCCTGAGGCAGGAAAACCACCACTTTGGGTCCTAACTGGGCAATTTAGTGAGGCCCTGTTTCAAAATTTATTTTAAAAAATTAAAAGGTTGAAGCTGGGCATGGTAGCGCATGCCTATAATCCCAGCACTCGGGAGGTTGAGGCAGGAGGATCGCTGTGAGTTCAAGACCAGCCTGGGCTACATAGTGAGTTCCAGGTCAGTCTCAATTACATAGTGAGACCCTGTCTCAAAAAACCAAAAAAATAAGTAAATAAATAAATAAAATAAAATAAAAGGTTGGAGATGTAGTTTAGTGTGAAGGACCTGGGTTCAATCCACAGTTTAAAAACAATTTCTCTACTTGCTTATTTTTGAACAATGTCACAAAAAAGTAAAAGGAAGAAAATAATAAAAATAATCACAGACAGTACTAGAAAAAAACAGCATAACAAATTATTACAAGACCCGATTTTATAATAAAATAGTCATAAAAAAAGGGGGGAAAAGGCAAATAGAAATAATTAGAGAATTCCTAATATTTTATAAGATTTTCAGTCTACTTTACATCATTATGCTTATAAATGTGAATTTGAATTTGAAGCATAATTTTATTCTCATTGCTGAAACCATTTCCAGAAGCAAATATGGTTAATTTTCCATGTAAGAGAGCAGAAATCTTACCAAAATCTTTAAAGTCTTTTAAACAGTTAGGGATCAAATCATTACCTTGGTAATTATTCAGGTATCAGTTGACAAAGACCCATTTCTTGGTACCACATGGTCAAATTTTGTTTTCTCACTGTTTCAGCTTTTAATTAAGAGTCTCCATGCTTATCTGAATTTTAATTGTAGGCCTTGTTGATATCATCTTGTAAAAAGTGGCACGTGAAAAAATGGAGTTGCCAATCTTAGTGACAAAAATCATGAGTATCACAAACTTAATAGAAAGTTAGAAATAGATACCAAATGTGTCATAGCTTGAAAAACAATTAGACATATAATGAGCAGTTATTCACCTCTAACCACTACTACCTTGTCTTGCCTGATCGTTTCTTTCTGTATCCCAGTTATAACAATTCTTGGAACTCACAACTTACACAGTATGAGCCTAACACCTTTTCAGAATCTTCACTCCTTACCCATTTATAACCTATCAAATATCATTAAAATTGCTCTCTTCATCTCCAGTGTCTCTGCTTCTCTCCCTTGCCATTCTCAACTATAGAAAATTCCATATTATTCCCTATTTCATAGCTGTAAACATGCAGTCAACAATGGCTAAGAAAATACATAATCGATCATACTGACTGATCATATTTTAAATTCATGCCCACTAACCCTAAGTGGGTCACTGGTATAGCCTAGATTTGTTTCCTCTTTCCATAATATGTTCATTTTTGTTTTTCTTATTAAATCTCTAAATTTTCTTTTCTATTGCTTTCAGTGGATGACACTACTTCAAATTTTGTTTTTTAAAAAAGGATATAATGGTGACATCTCATCTTATCCCATCTTCAGATCCACTTTCCCATTTTGGGCCTAGCCTTATGTTTTGAAGAACTATCTATTCACAATCAGCTCCTCCAGTTGTGCTCAACCCTTTCACTTACTCCAGCAACTGTCCTCCTCTCCTGCATGCTTAATCTATTAGACCACTCCCTGTCAACACATAAACATGGTATAAGTTCTCCTTAGCTACTGATTCATTTTTCACTCCCATTTATAGGAAAACAAAAATGGTCTACACTTGCTACTCTAATTTCTCTGTTGAATACAACCAATATAAGGCTTTCACTGTCCCAGTCTACCAAATCTGTTTTTGTCAAACTCCACTAATGAGTTATTTCAGTTTCAGTGATCATCTTACTTCACCATTTTATCATCAGAACCATTGAGTACTCGATACCCTCTCCCTGAAATTCCTCCTTTCCTTGACTTTCTAAACAAAATCCTCTCTTGATTTTAGAATGCACCAGGACTCACTCATTTCTTTTGTGCTATGTATACTTGCTCTGATGGTGATCTCATTCAGTATTGTGGCTACAGATATCGTCTTTTCTCTGAATACTACCAAAGTTTTATATTCAGCTCTAGAACTCCATGTGATGCATCCACCTGACTAATCAATATCTCCACTTGGATGTTCATTATTTATCTCTAAGTAAATTTGTCCAAAACCATGCTTTTGATTTATTATTCCTTCTGTAGTCTTCCCCATCTTGGTAAGCACTCCCTCCATCTTTCCTGTTGCCCAGGGCAAACAAACCTTGGAGTCATCCTGGACTCTTCTTCTCTCACAGTCCACTTCTGATCCATCAGTAAATCCTGCCGTCTGCACCTTCAAAACATATTGGAATTTTCGCTCACCACTTCTACAGCTACCAACCCAGTCCAAACCACCAGCATGTCTTTTCCCATAGCATTGAAAATGCCTCCTTAGTGATTTCTCAGCTTCCAAAGTTGCCTCTTCAAATTAGGTTATAATCACAGCTGTTAAGATGATACCTCAAGGAGGAGTGGTGGTGAATTAGATGTTACTTTTTAACCTAAGTTTCCAAAACTTCTCATTTTCACCAGAATCAGAGTTTTTACAATAACTTACAAAATCCTATTTAAAGGAATGTCCTGCTATCTTATACTTCAACTTTGAGCATCCTCCATTCTCCCTTCTACTGATTCCAAACCAGAAAACATATAAAACATTCTAGAATAATATTGATGAACATTTTATTTAAAAATATTAAATATAAAGGATTGCCTTACTTTATTTTGTGTTGCTTTACTTGAATGTATGTATTATTACTATTACATCTCTCTTTGAAAGTAGAAAACCTTTAACAGGCAAGTACATCAAATTTTTTTGTACAAAATGAGCTCCTAAAAATACAGATGGAAACAATTTATTTTCTTATTGGATTGCTTTTCAAATCAATGGGAAAAAGGAGGAGGCAATACATGCTGTAGTAATAGCAAGCTAGCATTTTTAAAAGAAAAGCTAGACATTTATAATCCTTTCTTTTAAAAATTACATTACAATAGGAGGAGATAGTTTAAAAGATAAATTAACAACTTTTTTTTGATGTGTTGGAGCTGAACTCAGGGTCTCGCATGTGCTAAGTATCAGTACCTTTCTTACCACTGAGCTATACCCCTGGCCTCTTACAGTGTATTTTTAACTTCATAATGTGAAAAGCCAGATAGCAAAGTCACAAAGCATTAAGCAGAGAACAACAAATTTGTTACTATAAAAATTCAGAACTATTTTTTTAAAACCACTATCATTAAAGCTAAAATATTTCACAAGCTGAAAAACTTTCTAATTTTTTGAGACAAAGGGTTCCTATCCGAAATATACAAATCAACAATAAATAAATGAAAATGGAACATATAAAATATATTTAACCTCTAATCAAAGGACACAAAGAAAAACAATGAGCTTTGTCTCTTAAGTTATATAATTAGAAAAGATTAAGTAAATGACAACATTCAACCAGCTGTTTTATTTTTGAAGGGGTCGTATTTTGGCCCTACTTGTTTTGGACAGCGCTTTGGAAATAGGCACCAAATATATAAAGTGACTTTTTAAAATCCAATATATTCACTAGCAAGTATTTGTTCTCAGAATACAGTAAAATGTATATGTAAGAGAAATCAGAAACGTACATGTAAGAATTCACACAACAGTGTTACTTTTCAACTCAAAATACTGAAAATGGTCTAACTACCCATATTAATACAGTGTTGCTCATTTATATTAAATTTTGGTATAATATGCAATGGGAATTTATATAAAGACATTTTCAGAAATCTTTTCCAAATATAATAAATTTCTAAACTAGGGAGGTGCAGTGGTGTATGCACCTGTAATCTCAGATATTTTAGGGACTGAGAAAGCAGGATTGAAAGTTTGAAGCCAACCTGGGTAAATTAATGAGACCTTGTCTCAAAACAAAAAATAAAAAGGGTTGGGGATTTAGCTCAGTGGCAAAGCACCCTAGGTTCAATCTCCAGGACAGACGACAGACAGACAGACAGATTGATTGATCCAAATAAAATGATTACCTATCTCCCTTTGGTTTTCTTTTTTGTAGCGTCTTCCCTTTGGGTCTTCTTTCACTTCCTAAACAAGGGGTCCCACCAGGTCCTGTTACCCGTATTGATTCAAGGCCTTTGGAAGATTTTTTAAATGTGAATTCCACTGGTTCTCCTTCTTTCAGGCTTCTAAATCCTTCCATGAATAGTTTGCTCTATAAAGAGTGGGGGAGGGATGAGGAAAGAGATCATAGTTATCAATGCTTTATAAGTTATCTGTATAATTTTAGAATGATCACAGCAAGGTATTTTGTTATCTGATAAAAAGTATAGTCTGTCTTTAAGTCCAGTGAAACTCGTATCATTTTTAATATTTCAATTGTAATGATGGCCGAGGGAGAATATATTAGTAATATTTTTCAAGGGCAATTTAGTAACACTTTTAAAATTTTTTTAAAATTTAAATGTACATATTCTCCAACCCAACAATTCTATTACAGACAAATTCATACAAAGGTTCAAAAAAAAGACACCATAGCATGGTTTGGTAAAACAATATCCATTTAATCTCAATGATCCTATAAATTATAGAGTCATATAACATTATTAAATCATTAAGGTTTTTTTTAGATCTACATATATTGATGTGAGAAGACAAACATGTAATACTGCTAGGTAAAAGAAATTAAGATTAAAACACAAGGTGTTTACCACAATTTCATCTATATGAAGTTTCAAAAAGATTCATGTCTACTTCCAAAGAAATAGGTTCTGGATCAGACTTAAATTACAAAGCAGTTTTCTCAATTCCTGTTCTGGGAAGGTAGAAAAGCTTTCTATGTACACTTTATTGCATTTTTGAGTTTTTATGATGGGAAAGTAAATTTATTTTTATAATTTGAGAAATGGTTGTTTAAAAAAATAAATCCCCAATTGCAAAATTGTAACTTTAATTTCAAATATTTATTGGCTCTTTCAATCCTATTTTGTTCATCAAAATCAATGTGCTAATTAAAAATGCTAAAAATAATTAAATCATTGGTTTTATTTACTTCTTCAAACCCCCTTGTGTACATTTTACAGATCTAATATATAATATCATGGAATTTATAAAGATTTTGCTGAACTTTGGGGTGAAAAGGAAGGAAGCACACCATGGCAGAAGATCTTATTTCAGGCCCAGTTCTTTCAGTAAACAGCTTGTCTATAGCTTTGAACGAATCATTTAATTTCTTTTCTGTTTATCTTTTTGTTTGTTTGTTTTTGGTATAGGGATTGAGCTCGGGACCGTGAGTTTGTGAGGCAGGTGGCAGAAGCACTGAGCTAAATCCCTGGCCTTCTCTTTATCTTATTGACTCTTTCCATCATAATGAATTTTTTTTAAATTTAAAGACAAGATTATAAATGTATCTATCTAGCTTTTTTCAAGCAATATGAATTCTGAGTAACAGCAGATCTGAAAAAGACTCTGGGAAAACAGCATTTTATGATCAAGTTAGTTTGTGCAATGTCATGATTTTTCTCCTTGGCACAATTAAATTAGCATATTAGTCTCAGAAATGTCCTCCCGTATCCCACTGCCACCAGAATAAAACTCTTGTTTAACTGTGTTTAACCCAGCAATTTCCTGACTTCATTGATCCTGAAGTACAAATGACTAGAGTACTTAAGGAAACACTTCCAGAAAATCTTCATCCTTACCAAGTCCAAGATCCCATGGGCATCTGCTATGGCTTGGATGTAGACTGTCCCCGCAAGGGGTTATGTGTTGGAAGCTCAGCCCCAAGGTGGCAGTACTGGGAAATAGCGTGGAATTGCTAAGAGGTAGGAACTAGTTGTAGCTCTTTAGGTCAATTAGCCACGTGCCTTGGAAGGGACTGAGGAACACAGTGTCTATCAGCTTCCTGTTTCTGTGATGTGATCTCTTGCCCTTGCATGTGCTTTCATCTGCTCTTGGACCTTCACCAGAGGCTAATCCAAGGGCTTAACCCACCATCTCCACCCACCAGTGGGTCTCGGACTTTCAACCTCCAAACTGAAAACTAAATAAACATCTTTTCTGTATAAACTAGCCTACCACATTTTTTAAACTAACAGAAAACACACTAAAAGAGCTGGTAAAAACAATTGTATTTCTTATTCACGGTTTTACATCCTACAGTTTGAATTACCTGAGGCCCACGGTAGACAGAAAATATTAAATAGGAAAATCAAGAAATAAACAATGTGTAAATTTTGAATTGTACAACATTTTGAGTAGTATTATAAAATCTCCATCCTGCCCACGACATAAATTGTAGCTTCATTTTGAGTATCCATTCTGTACACACTCCCTTCCTGCTTAGAGGCCATCTTACTTATCAGATCAATTTGGAATATGATGTGTCTATGTTCAGGTAACCCTTATTTTACTTAAGAATGCCCTCAAATGGTAAGAACAGTGATGCTGGCAATTCAGATATGCCAAAGAGAAGCTGTGAAGTAATTAAGTAAAAAGGTGAAAATTCCAAATTTAACAAGAAAAAATTATCTGAGGTTGCTAAGATCTACAACAAGAACAAATTTTCTACGCATGAACTTGTGAAAAGAATTCTTTCTAGTTTTACTATTGTGCCTCAAATGTGACTGAGTGGGACTGAATTTATGTATGCATTTAAAGAAAAAAATATAATATACATAGGATTTGGTACACAGTGTCTTCCTGATGTGGTCCTTGGTTTCAGAAATTCACTGAGGATCTTGGAATGTATATCTCAAAGATAAAGGGGGAGTACTGTAATTATAGACAACTTAAATCATTAGATGGAACAAACAAAACTACTTCAAAATTTAATACAAAAGAATTGTAGACAGCTAATTTAATTAGTTATCTTGTAGGCAGTTAGACTGGGCCTTTGGTTGAATCAATAGGAAAGAAAATCAAGACACATTCACTGAAAGTCAAGATTATGAAAAGAAACTAGTACACTCATGTACTTCCCCTAGGGCCAAATAGAAGTGATTGATATTCAAAATGGACATCAATCACCTTAAGTGAGGACCAGAATCTCCCTAGCCCATTTCCTTTCCACAAACTCCTTGTTCATAGCATGTGCTTACTATGTGATTTGTTTTCTCATTTGATCCCCATTTAATCAATATTACCTGGGCAACTGTACTTATAGTCTTATTGGTTAATCATGATTTTGTCCCACCTCATGCCTACCTTGTGATTTTCCAATGGATCCTATTAGTTGACTATAGTTTGTCCCATTTTTGTACCTGCCTCACCTCCTGGCTTTGCTCCATAAAAACCTCCTGAGAAATGGTGTCTCATGCAACCCACTTTTCCTGGTGTCCCCTCCAGTCCTCTCAGAAAGGAGCCATCATCTTTCCTTCAATAAAATATTCCTTACTCTTAATCTCCATTCCTAGAATTCATTCTTCTATTTTAGAGAACCCAAATTCCCATTTCGGATATCTAGCAGGTTGGGAATTACAATATATCCCCTATTTTGGAATATTTTGCTTATTTGGATCAAAAGGAGACTATTTATTATGGAAGTAATATGATACAGAAAAACAATTAACCTGTTTCTCACACAAGTTACCCGACATTGCGAAATCTTTCATGCTGAACTCTGCAACTTGAAAGTAATATTTCTGTTTAATGTATGTAGAAGAAAATATGCTACAACTGCTTATGTTCTTTAAAAGAACATAAAAAATAGTTATTTTTAATGCTGTATTAACAATGCTAAAGCATCTTATTTTTCTCTAATTATAAATAATTCTTTTGCTTTAACTTTCTTTCTTCCTTTCCACTCAAAAAAGTAGATTATTTCTTTTAATTCAGATAAAGTACAGCATAGTTCAACTACTGACAGTATGAGAATGAAGGAAAAGCAATACTAATTATAGCTCTCATAATGTTTATGTGTTTTGTTTCCCAAAAAAAAATTCTATCATCTTCCCTTACTAGTTTCTAGTTTACAAGTATACTTCTACCAACTTAATTTGATTTTATTTTCCTTTATTAAGACTACCGGTAGTTATTATTTATAAGTGAACTGTTTTTCTAAATCTAAAGTAAAAATCTAGCTCTTGTACACCCCTAAATTCTGGGTATTTATCATGATATACTTTTTTTTACCCCCTCCACACAAATTAGTATATAAAGCAATTTAGATTCATAATATTTGACAATACACCATCCATTTCATTGGACTACCATTACCCTACTTCAGGTCTAAAACATTCTACCAGTGTAACTGGAGTAGCTTCGTCACTGATGTTTCAGCAGGAAGTCTTCTTCCTAAATCACTGTCTTCCATACCTGCATATTCTCTTTAAATTTTCACCTGTTAGACTCAACTCAAAAATCTACCATACTCTCAAGATTGTATGTACATTAGATTCTTTATATTTTGACCCTAATTACACTTTCCATTTCTTTTCCCATTATACCAAAACATAATTTCTTTGTTATTAAAACTAGCTGACTTGTATTTCCAAGAAAAATCATCTCTTCTCTGTATCCTAGCTTATTTTGATGGAACACACTCTCCTCCTATCAACACTTTATTCAAAAACAATTTTTCTTCAAGCACAGTTCAAATGATCCTTTTTGTCATCATCCTCAATTACTCAAAGTTAGAAATTTGTTCCTCTTTTGTGCAATTAATTCTTCTCTATAGCTTTTATAGTGCACTGTTGTGTAATGCAAATATTCGTAATATGCTTCACATCTTTCTTGTTCTTTTGGACTTACATTCTACTGAAGACTGAGAAATATGATGTGTATCTTAGTATTTCCCAAAAGGCTCAAGTAATGCTTGCAAATACTATCATTCAATAGGTACTTGAAAGAACTCTAAATTTAATATCGGGGAAAAATGAGGATTATTAGTCTAACTCTCATTTGAGAAAAAACATGAACAAAATTCCTCATGCCAAGTCAAATTTTCTGGGTTCTATACATAAAAAAGCTTTTATTTTTAATGTTAAACGACACTGTATATGGTTTACCCAGAATAAAATGTGGATAGGAGGGCCGGGGATTTAGCTCAGTGGTGCTGCTGCTGCCTGTATTGCAAATGCAAGGTCCTGAGTTCAATCTCCAGAACAACAACAAAAAAAAGTACATATGAGT